TAATGTTTGATCGGTGATACCAGCAAAACTTTTAAAGGCAAAAATGTATTTTATATTTTACAAATATACTTAAAATACGTTTGGAAAAGTATTTTCAATAAAATACAAAATGCTTTTGTCAAAAAAGTATTTAAATGCAAGATAAAAATAACTATTTTTTATCTTTTATTTGTATTTCAAATAAATTATATCTCTGCATAGAATATGTACTGTATACAGAAAGCTCTGATACTCCATACCTCCATGGTACTTTTATATTTGGATCATTATTTATGGGATACTCTAGAGCAGTAGTTACATCGATGATTAATTACTACTCTGATTTTACGTTAGAAATTACGGAATATTAATATTGCCAATATAAGTATGTGGATGAATGTGTAGTTAATTGTGAGTACAACTCTCGTGGGATTCTTACTAATTACGATGTGCATTATTTTTTTTTACGTGTGCAATATATATATGCAAGTGAATTCACAAGCACATAGATTCAATCCATATTATGGTTAGCGTTATACATAGGTCATCAGATAGATTTTGCAACGCAGCTTTTGTTTTTATACTCTCAAAATAATAATCGCGGTTTATTTACTTAGTCATACGTAAAACCAAATATCAAAAATTCTGGGAGATCTAAACAGGCCTGATTTCAAGCAATTAAAAGCTCAGAATCTAAAATAAAATTGAACAGACAAAAAAAAACAAAAAGTTCTTTAAAACATTTAAAAATTTCTTTGTGTTTTCTATTTTATTGTTTCATAATTTTCCCACCGCGAGTTCAACTGAAAGTTCAGGATCTGTTTCAACCGATCCATAATGATTGGAAAAATAGTAGTCGCAGGGAACTACTTTTGGGCTATCGCAGAATGTTTAGGTACTTTAATGAGACATTGTCTCGTACTAGATGTGCGTGTGCGTTATCATGACGAAAATGCTCAGTGTTCATCCTCGAATTTGGCCGGATTTCCTGAAGCTTTTGAAAAGCTTCGGGCAACATTCTAATATTCATATATAATACATATACAAAATAATATATGTAGTTATCAGTAACAGTATTACTGCTATTATTCGAAAATTAGATAAATAATATATAATTTAATTATTAAATCTTCTATCAGTGAGAAACAATTGTTTAAAAATTTACCTTCAAAAGTCTCCACATCGATTTTGTTGCTCACTGGTTACCTAATACAACAAGCGGCACAAACTGCTAACAGATAATGTTTGCATTTCGAATAAAAATGACAATTGTTGCTTTCGCGTGGGGTCTTTTAAACGATTAATTTGCCTTTTTTTGTGGTGTGCTCTTTGTGCTAATTTTTTGGAAGGTTTTTAAACTAAAAAAATTACGACTTCCGACGACTCGAATTTACCATGTAGATACTAACTTCTGAACCGTAGAAACATACTCGATGATTGTAGTGGACCTGTTATTATCATACAGAAAATTTCAGCGGCGCTAATGTTCGACAATTTTCCATCATTGAAATTGTTGTTATTATTTATAAAAAATCACACTTAATATCGTATATATAATTTCTCTCATACAACATAAATGAATTGCTTTTTTTTATATAACAAGCGTTTATTATTAAAGGTATTTTTTGTAACATTTATCATTCTACAGGGTGTTCTAAACAAGATCCTTTCTCTAATAACTAGTAGTCAACATTAGACAAAAGTATTTTCCGCTAAAATTATTAGGAACATTGACTTATATGATGCGTTTCATGAAAAAAATACATGAGATTGTGTACAGGCATTGTCAGGGTTGTACAAAATGACATAAAGTACCTTTTATTCAGAAAGAAAAACTTCCCGAAGGATAGAAAATTTCTTTTTTTTTCTTCTTTCTTGCTTGATCCAAGTCAGGAAATTTATCATAAAATTGTATTTTCGATGATCTTTGACAGGTATTTAGGGCATTAATGTGAGCAAAGACGCGGGCAAATGTTAATCTCTTTTAAATGTGTAGGCTCTAGAGTTAATAAAAAGGAATCCTGTTCCCCTATTTTAGAATGTATTAAATGAATAAAATATTAATGATAAGAAGTATAATGGTGTGTACAATAAGTTTTCCGGTATGAGACAGTTATCCTAATGCATTCATTTTAATGGTCAAAAATTTTACCGTCTTCCGTCTTTTGTGCTTTTATTATACTCTTTGTTTTTGCGACTACTTCGCCCCCTGCGGTATTCACCGTCGTTCGCGTCGGAAAATTCCCTATAATCTGCGACTTGCGAAAAATAATTTGAATGAGTGAATCGGGAGCAGACAAACTGCAGAAACTCGTTGTCGTATAATTGTGATAAACATGGCTATTATAAAAATGTAGCATCGTGCTACAGATGGCGTTTACTGCGCCATTTGTAGTATTTTTTAAAACGCACTGTTAAGATAGCAGGTAAAAGTTGGTCTGTGTTCTGTCGTGCTACAGATGGCGTTTACTGCGCCATTTGTAGTATTTTCTAAAACGCACTGTTAAGACAGCAGGTAAAAGTTGGTCTGTGTTCTGTCGGAGCTGCCTGCGACGCGCTGATGAGATCCAAAAA